TTTTTATTCATACAAAGCTTTTATTTAATTATTATTTACTTTGTTTTGTTTTGGCAAATTAGTGGTTCTCATTTCCGGGTCAATGCTAAATTGTACTCAAATAATTTTTTTGTTCTTTTTACTCTTCCTAACGAGATTGAAAATCATATTAAATCTCATATAATTTCTACGATAAATGAATATTTATTCAAAAGAACAGTTCATAATTTTATTTTCATCTATAAACTGAGAAAAAAGAAATACAAGTGAAAAAAATATTCATTTGAATGTTGACACTTTTTTTTGGCAATGTTATTAGTTTCTACTGGAAAAATATTTTTAAAAAATTCATGTCTTAATTAAGCATATAAGTTTGGTGGGTCCACGTTATTTACCCCCTTTCATTTTTTCCGAAATTTTTTTACGGAAATTTAAATAATATATTAGTATAATTTGTCTGCTCCTCAGATTACTCCAAACATTAAATTACAAAAAGAAAGTTTGAAATTTTAAAATAATAAAGATAATCAAAGGCAAGAAAGAACAATAAAAAAATCTAAAAATTCCTAAATTTATAATTTGGAGTAATATTAATTCCTAAACTTGTAGAGGTGCCTATTAATTCCCAAACTTATATGGAACCGTTTAACAAGTTCAGGATTTAACGTGTTCAATTTTGCAAATTTGGGAATTAATAGACACCTTTACAAGTTTAGAAATTAATATTACTCCAAAATACAAGTTCAGAAATTTTTAGGGTTTTTTCCCTTTATAAAAAGATTACAAACAGAGCCTAAGAAACCACGCATTCGTAATAAGCAAAGCATAACATCAAAACAAACCGCGGTGCACAAATAAAAAAACACACACTTGAATAATGCACAAACCTCGGACCGTTAACTATTAGGCTACTTTTAAACCCTAAATCTGCCACTTGCTACTCTGTGCATCACAACAGACCGGATTTTCATCAACCATATCATCATTTACAAACTTCGATCCAATTTTTTTTAAAAAAAAAGATTTGAAAGGTTGCAGAGTTTCTGCAAGAAGAAACATGAAAAGTTCATTAGTAGTACACATCATTGGCCCGATTTTTTTCGGGGTTATAGAGGCCAATGCGAGTTTTTTGGGAAGGCGAGGGTGTACCTTATAAGCATTTCCTGTTGATGAAAGAGAAGTAAGCTATCCTACAATGGGGACAGGACGGAGCGGAACTACTTCTGTCTCATGTGATGGCGTTATTGCCTTCCGCCTTGTCCTTTCTGTTACCAGATGCAGCCACATAATGCCCATGCTTTTAAATTCCCGTGTCCAGGGTCTGAAGTAGAAAAATAAATGGGCAAAAATATTGCAAAATGTGGGAAAAGCAAGAGAAAATTCACAAGACCTAGCATGCGATTCGAATGGATGTTATGGTGAAAATACCTGACTGAAATCATCATCAGGTTGGCCACCTTCTGCTTCAGATGCAGATCGACAAGTGCCATCAACGAAATCCGTAGCGTTGGAACCTACCACAGGATTTTCCGAGCATTCAACATTGTCGGGATCCGGAATGCTGTCAAGTACCAACGTTTCACAACTCAGTTTCGTGATTTTCACCACGTCGCTGATCACTAACACGCCGCTCTCCCTAGCACTTGTCCGTGTTTGGCTTGATGATGGCAGTTCATGTCTGTCCTCAGCCATTTTCGGGGGACTTGATATTACACTGAGAAAAGGAGATCAAAGGTTCAAACTTGAGGAGAAAAGTCGATACTCCTAAATTTAAGACGAATAATTCATATTACGTATAATTATATACCTCTGAGAGTCAACTTCAAGTGATGTACTGAGGATGTCATCTTGTTTCCTCCTCTTGTTACCATTCCCGAACTGCATTACAGATGGGTTAGTTGTGCCATTGCCTGATGTATCAACTCTTCTTTTCCTTCCACCTTTAAGCCTTTCACCAGCCTCAACTGGTTCCTTACTGTGAATCTTTTCTGGCTTGCCGTTCTCGCCATCTCTTTTTAATGAATCTAACAAATGCCTTCCTTCTTGCTGCAGGGAAGATTTCTCTGCAGGATTCTTCGAAACCAGTTTGCGGAATCGATTTATCCATGACAATGGAGTAGAGGCTGACAGAGACGAATCATTCTGTCTTTGTTGCATAGAAGAGTTATGACCATTACCATTATTCACGGCTCCAACCTCATTCTGTAAATCGGGTTCCTCATCCCGGATGGCAATCTTCTGCTTCAAAGCAGAAACCTTAGACAAGCTCCGCTCTAAATTAGAGATCTGCATCTTAGCCATGGACATACCATCTAAGGCCCCTTTCAGATTTTCCAACTTCTTGAGTTCTTCAGCCTCACGTTGGATTTCTTCTCTTTCAGCACGAAGCAGTTCCCTTTGCTTCTGTAGCTTTTCTCTTTGAACCAGTAACGCTTCAACCGAATCCTTTAACTCAGCCCATTCTCTCTCCCTCCGTTCACGATCCAATTTGATCTCCAACCTCTCAGCATCCAGTCTCCTTAATTCCACAGTGACCTGTTCCAATTCTTTTTCTGCCATTTCCTTGTGGGACTGGATACGTTCGCATTCCGACTTCTTCTCCTGCTCGAAAGCCTTCTCTCTCTCCCTCATGTTATTTTCTAATTCTTCTCGTTTCCTCTCAATACAGTATTCCAGCTCCCTCTTCTGCATCTCAATACCCAACAGGAGTTCAGCACGCTCTCGCTGAATTTTGCTAAGCCACTCAGAATGTTCATGCACCATCTTATTCATGAATTCTTCACGCTCATGATTCAGTAATTCCATATCATGCTTGTGCTGATTTCTCAATGCATCCCTCTCTTGTCTGAGATTATCACGTTCATCCTTCAGATACCTGGATAAAGAGTCTCTTTCACGAGCAATATGCTCTGCTTCTTTTCTAAGCTCTTCCCTCTTCACATCAATGTGCTCCCACTCAGCTTCAAACTTGGCTTTCTCTACCTTCATTCTATCAGCTTCAGCCATCAATTCAAGCTTTTGAGCCCTCACAGCATCCAGCTCTTCCTTGAGTTTCATTTCCAGAATTGTTAATTCGCTTGTCTCACTCTTCAAGGCTTCGAGCTTCTCCGTTGTGCAATCAACGTGCTTTTTCTTGGCTTCTAACGAAGACAAAGAGTGTTGAAGATCTAGTCTCATTTTGCTAATCTCTTCCTTCTCATTCTCCAGAAGGGATGCCTTAAGGTTGAATTCTTTCTCTGTAACACTCAATTTCTTTTCTTTCTCGTCAAGAATATTAAACCTCTCTGTTACATCTTTTTCTTTCTCTGCCAGGACCTTCGATTGAACTTTCAATTCATGCTCCTTTTCACTAACTAGGTCTTCTCGTTGACTGATATCAACCTCTCTTAATTCCCAAGCTCGTCTTTTGCTCTCAATTTCATCTTCCGCCAATTTGTGCTTACTTTCCAATTCTGCTTCAGCTTCAGTTCTTCTCTTCCTCAGAATATTTTCCTGATTGGCTAAGACCTTCTGAACTAGTTCCTGCACCGATGGTTTGGAAGACTTTTCATTAGTTTTCTCACAACAAAATAGTTTTGTTTCAATAAAGAATACTAAAGGTACCTGCAAATACAAGAGTAATTTGAACAACAAATCGAAGACTAATGAAAGATAACTACAAGGTATGCTTTATAGAATTGAGGAAGTGGGGTAAAGTCAAATGGAGCAATAACTCACAGATTCCTTGCTCGCAAGTTTTTCTTGAGCAACAAGCAGCTCTTGCTCCTTCTTGTTCAATGAAGCTTCTCTCTCAAAGACAGCCTAGTTTACCCCAAAAGGAAAGTCAGAAAAATCTCATGCAACAGTAGAAACTTGTACGCAGAGACATTTTTCCGATTGCTGAAAAGCATCAAACAGAAAATTTAAACAGCAAATACTAATGTGCATATAGACCTCTCCTCTTCTTTCCATGGAAGCCAGAGCAAGCTCCAAATCTGATTTCTTGTCCCTTGAGGCTCTATGTTCCTCCTCAAGCTTGGTCCTTGCAGACTCGAATTCCTTTTCAAGTTGTGCTAATTCTTGTGATCTACCAAATATGTGTTCTTCTCTTTGATTCAGTGAAACTTGTGCTTCCAATAACCTCTCATGCTCTTGCTGGAAACTCTTTTGCCTTTCACTTAAAGTTTGCCTTTCCAGAATAACTTCTTTCTCTTTAGCTTCAGACCTAAAGCATGATAACAAAGAGACAGTGAAGGCCCATAAAATATGTCTAAATTATTTTGCGTCTAAAACTGTGATAGGACGAATCCCACTAAGCACATAAAAGAATAAGTGACAGTGTGAGAATGAAATGACACAAATGAGACATACTCAGATATGAAAGATGCAAGCCGCCTAGCAAGATCATCTTCACGCCCTTCAACTTCCTTCAGCTTTCTCTCTGCAATCCGATGACAGCGGGTAGCTTCTGATTGTAAAGCTTCTGCTGCACGTATCTTCACTTCAGCTTCTGCATATTTCTTCTGAGCATCTTCGATCATGATTTGAGCTTCAGACAATTTATTCGCAGCAGCAACTTTTGTCTCGGCACATTCTGCACGCATTTCATGCAAAGTCTTCTCCAACTGAGGCAAAAAGTAAAAGTCAACATGCAGACCATAAAGGAAAGGAAAAAAGATTAATCTTGGCTTTTAAATATGAGATTGTCTTACACTAGCAATACATTCTTTCGCAATCCCTAAATCTTTCTTCAAACTCTCTTCCCGTCTCCTTGCTTCAGCCAAAGCAGAGGCATATGCAGATTGATCACGCTTATGTGATAGTTCTGCCTCTTCCGCAGAGGCCTTAACCTCCTCATACTTTGATATCAACTCCTTTTTCTCCAACAGAAGAAGGCCCATGTTGTGTTGGTAGTCATACACCTACATCCAATTTCATCAGCTAAATTTGATCCATCTAAAGATTCATAAGCCTCGTATATTGACAACAGACAGGGAAAATCTAAACCATATATTGCCCACAGTAAATAAGCGCAAAAGAGGAACAAAAATGGAAAAGCAGATTCACAAAAGGAAAACAATCATTCCAAAAGGCCAAAAACTGATGGCAACCAATGACTTTCAAGATCCGACTGAATGAAGGTAAAGGTTTTGCCAACAAAAGGGCCAAGCTACAGATTTTGCCGCCGATCGGCCGATGATCTTGCTTAAAGAGAATAAATTAGTTGCCATAATGATTTCGAACATCTTAGTTCAATACCGTCCAAAGCCTTTTCAACCTCCTATTGAATGAAAACAAAAGGTTTACCAGCAAAACGGCTACAGATTTCACCATAGACGACTCGATTTTTCAAGGGTATTCACAAAAGCGATCTGTTATCCATTACCTCTCCCCGGACAAGTACTACATTCACATCAAATAAAGAATCAAACTCTCAGATATTTCTAATTTTGGACAACGAGTTAGCCTCCGTAATGATTCGACTCCATAGTAGGAATTACTCTAGTCAACACATTTTCATGATCCTAACAAAAAAGCATCCATAACTCAGAACTTGACAACCGGAAGAAAAAGACACCCAGAGAGAAGAACACGGATAAAGGTAATTGGTAAAAAAAAAACGGAGAAGCAAAGCAAACCTCGGATTCCAGCTTAGCGATGTAAGCGATGAGAGCGGCTTTGTCCCTCTGCTTGATCGATTCTTCGTCAAACCCAGCCTCTTTGAGCCGATTCCACAGGGCTTCATCGCTCAGCGAGCTCTTCAAAATCCTAGACCCAGGCGTGACCGACAAACCCCTCGTCACCGCGAATCTCCCCGACCGAGGAGTTGCCATCTAACACTACCACGATCGCCGACACGACGGAGAGAGAGAAGAAAAAACCTAGATCCTTGAACTCCGATTGAACACTACGATTGTTCTCTCCGTAATTCGCGGCTCTTCACTCTGTTCTTCGACCTTTTCGCTCCTCTCTGGAGACGGAAAACAGGAAGAATTCTCTGTCAGTGAATCTGAGAGAGGTCTCTCTTTTTTTTTATACATATATATAGCCTTTTCTAAGTCAAAGGAAGCCTGTTCGAGTAGTCAAAGCTGAAACGACGACGTATCGATGCTTCTGGAATTGGTAAGGCGCCTTCGAAAAAAATTAAAATCTGATTTAGCGCTAAAATAAATACGGAATCATGTTTAAATTAGTGATTAAATGCTAATTATAAGATTATTATGGTAATTAAATATTACGATCCGTGTAAGCCCAAGGATGAGCTGTCTCTCTGTCCTTCGTGCACAAACATAAAAACTAAATTCTAGAAAGAGTAATTCTTTCGGAACATTGTATTTAAATCTTTTGAATCTGACATTAAATTTGATATGTTGATTTGTTTTTACGTACGAAACAAATTTGATTGTACGATTTTCTAAAAAAAATGAACTTATTCGAACCGAATTTTAAAAATACTAGAAGAGATCCGCGCGATGCGCGGGTTATTTTTTTGTATTGTTAATATAAAATGTTTACTTTTTTGTTGCGAAAAATATTGATATGAATATAGCGAACAATATATTATTAAATCATTATATATATATATATATATATATATATGAAGGAACGAAGAAATGAAAGAATTTAAATATCAATAAATTATTATATTATAAAATCATTTTTATATTAAATAAATTTGCCAATGTAAATTTATATATTTTTTATGATGAAGCGCATGTTTAATCAATATAATTGTACGTTTTACGCTAGGTGTGGGAACGGGTCGGGTACCCGCGATTTTATGGTTACCAGAACCTGAATCCGAACCCAAAAATCATATAAATTAAAAACCCAAACTCGCAACCGTTTTGATCGGGTATCCAAAAATCGGGTACTCGAAATAATGTTTAAGTATC